ATCACTCCATTCATATTTTTTGGATTTGCATATACAGGGTGACTCAAAAAAATTAATGTATGCGTAAATATATTTTATTGATTTAATCAGGAACTACAAAACCAAATGCTCTGAAATCTTGCAGATGTTTTAAGGTCATAAAGAGCATAATAAATGTTTAGTCAAAATATATTTGCTTATCCCCTCCAAAAACTTGATGACGTCAGCTCGAAAGTTTGCCGAATAAATCATATCTAAAATGTACAAAATATGATGAGTCTGTACTTGTCATTTATCACTCCATTCATGTTTTTTGGATTTGCATATACAGAGTGACTCAAAAAAATTAATGAATGCGTAAATCTATTTTATTGATTTAATCAGGAACTACAAAACGGAATGCTCTGACATCTTGCAGATGTTTTAAGGTTATAAAGAGCATAATAAATGTTTAGTCAAAATATATTTGCTTATCCCCTCCAAAAACTTGATGACGTCAGCTCGAAAATTTGCCGAATAAATCATATCTAAAATGTACAAAATACGATCAGTCTGTACTTGTGATCTATCACTCCATTCATATTTTTTGGATTTGCATATACAGGGTGATTAAAAAAAATAAATGAAAGCGTAAATTTATTTTACTGATTTACTCAGGAACTACAAAACCGAATGCTTCGAAATCTTGAAGATATTTTAAAATTATCATAAGCATGGTAAATTTTTGATCAAAATGTATTTGGTCGTCCCCCCTAAAAAATTTATGACGTCACCACAAAATTTTTCTGAATAAATCCTATCTAAAATGTACAAAATATGGTGAGTCTCTTCTTGTGATTTATCATCCCATTCAAATATTTTCGATTTGCATATACAGGGTGACTCAAAAAAATTAATGAATGCGTAAATTTATTTTATTGATTTAATCAGGAACTACAAAACCGAATGCTTTGAAATCTTGCAGATGTTTTAAGGTCATAAAGAGCATAATAAATGTTTAGTCAAAATATATTTGCTTATCCCCTCCAAAAAATTGATGACGTCAGCTCGAAAGTTTGCCGAATAAATCCTATCTAAACTGTAAAAATATGATGAGTCTGTACTTGTGATTTATCATTCCATTCATATTTTTGGATTTGCATATGCAGGGTGACTCAAAAAAATTAATGAAGGCGTGAATTTATTTTATCGATTTAATCAGGAATTACAAAACCGAATGCTTTGAAATCTTGGGAATATTTTAAAGTTATTATAAGCATGGTAAACTTTTCTTCAAAATGTATTTGTTCATCCCTCCTAAAAAAATTGATGACGTCACCCTTAAATTTTGCTGAATAAATCCTATCTAAAATGCAAAAAATATGATGAGTTTGTACTTGTGATTTATCATTCCATTCATATTTTTTAGATTTTCTTAAGAGGTGGTTCAAAAAAATTAATGAAGTCAATTTATTTTATTGACTAAATTAAAGGCAACACTTATTATTAGTATTACACCTCAACCAACCCAATTTGGTAGACACAAAATTTGTTAAAGGAAAAACTCGGTTGAAACATAAGGGTAGCACGCTTATTTACATCGACTTTAACATTACAGACCTGCATTTGTTTTATGCGCTCACTTGGTTCCGCGAATGTTAAATAGACATGTTTATAATCAACCAATTGTGAATTTCACCGTCAAGAATTAAAATAAAACCCAATGTTTTATATAATAAGCGGAAGTCGAAGCAATAAAACCGATGGTCGTTTTGTTTACAGTTTCTCTGTTTGACTCTCACGTATGCTGTTACGCTTGTCATCTTAAATTAAGAATGTTTATACATAAACGATTTTCAGTTGCCTTTCATATTACTAGACAGCGGATTTTTGTCGGGCTACGTCACGTTTAATCGGTACTAATTCCATAAATATAATTAACGATTTATTAATCAAACGGCTAAGTAAATGAGAACGGGAATTAACAGCAGAGTGCAACGAAACAGCGTTATTCTAATCTCAAATAAACGAAGTGCAGTCCGCAACCGCAATGAATTCGCATCCCGTACGAGCCGTACCGAGTTTGGCCTTGCCTAGCCCGACAGAAATCCGCTCTCTAGATATTACACACCGACGCCGTATACGTGAGTAAATTGTTTCGTTATTTTATTGATTATAAGAAATCAATATTCAAAACGACCCAATTCATTTTCCCGAAAATTTGGGAATACAATAATTTTATTCTTAGTATTACACTACATCTATCCCGACTGATATACGTGTCCTTGCAAAAATGTTGATGACGTCATCACAATTTTTTTTTAAATTCCCACTACAAAAATGTAATGAGAAAAAAAACCACAATAGGCATGCAGTCGTCAAGTTTCCGACAGCGAGGGAAGTACTGTCTAAACTCTTTAGACCAATTTTTTTTACTTGAAAAAATTTTGAAATGATTTTCCATATTTGATATTCCTTGATGAGTTAACGTCAGAAGATTTTTCGTGGAGATGATCAGACAGTTTTGGACAGCCCTTGATCATGTGAAAATTCACAATCAATCCAGTAATTTAAAAATTATACGTTTAAGGAAACTGACAGAGGTGAAAAACCACAGACTACAGTCAACTAAACACGGGAGATTTAATTTTTCATTTTCTTGAACATGTGAAATGTCGAGGAAACATGAAATACCACTTTCAAAGGTTATATTCGGGAAGTGAAAGTCAAAGATATCCGATTGTTTAATTATGTAATATGAAATATGAAATAGATAGCAGATAACTATAATGTTTAAAAATTAATCTATTTTGTACAGACGGATATTTAAGTCTAATAATAATAATAAATTGGTCCAAGTTTATTTCGACAGAATTTCCTCGCCCTTGAAGTACAGTTTAACGAAATCTAGTTCTTTGGAAAATTATAAAATTCAATGTTGTGATTTTGTTTTCTCTATAAAGTGAAAACCAGTGGCGTAAATAACACACACGCAGCCTCTGAGTCGCGGGACGGAAATTGCAAGAGGTGCGGTCCGCACAAATGTCCACAATATAAAATATATTTAAAGCAGATAATCAACGGGAAGAAATGTACTTTCAATAACATGCTTAACTTCGAATGTTTATGTGTATATTTCAAAAGAATTGAACATGGGGAATCCTTGATTTAATAAAAAAAAAAAATGAATCGACCCGTAGAACTTTCATCTGCAAAACAGACCTCACTACCATTGGACCGTTAGATTATTACTTATTAGAGTCGTGTAGCTTCGTATTATGTACCTAAAGAAGAATCAGGTTTAAACAATAACAACCATAATAATAATAACCAAAAACAGGGCGAATTCCTACAGTTCAAGTGTAGAAGTCCACTATTTTATAAAATTTAAGTTATGTTTATTGTACAGAATTTTAAGGGCTTGTCATCACGTTGTTGGTGGGGATGATTAGACAAAAAGCGGACACCTCGAATAACTGTTTTAAAAATATAGACGAATGAGTTTTATGTATTCATCACATTAAGGTGAAATAATTGATAGAAAGCTAAATAATAACAAAAAAAAAAAATTCGTTACAAAAAATAAAATTTAACTGAATGAAACTTTTCTGTTTTTAAATTAAAAACTAAAGAATATTTGAAGGTTTTAAAAATTATTGATTTGCATTCTTTCTAAAATATTACCTTCGGGCAACTCAATAATGACGAACTTATATTGTTTTTCCCGTAATTAGTATTCTGTTTTACATTCAATGCGGAAGAATAGCTTGAGAAACACGTATCAAAAAGTAATTTACATTCCTCTCGTTAGATTCCTTCTCAACTTCGAGACAAAATAGCTTTTTGTTTCTGCTTCTTACATTATCTTAGGAAACGTACAAGCTAGAAGCTAAACATTGCATGTAATAATAGAAAAAGCTGGAGTACGTGAGTAAAATACTACAACATCCAATATCGTCGGGAGTAGGTACACACTCAATTCTTATTCTGCTTCGTGATATTATTTAAAAAGTGCATAGCGTTGTGGGATCTTGTTCTACAGCTTACGCACAGGACTCTGGAAAGAAGTATAATCGAATTCAAACTTTCAACAGAATACATTGTAACACGAAGAACTGCATTTTAAATCACTTCTTTCATGGAAAACTATTTTCGGAAAATTTTCGTCTAAACTGGAAGTGAACCGCTATTGTTAAATTAAACTTGATAAACTTTTTAATGTAATATGTAATGCATAGTTGCCTCCAGAGTTCAAGTTAGAAATCAGAAGGGAATTTCACCGAGCGCTTAGGAATTAGATCTTCCTTGGTATTTGAAAACTCCAATACATCCCGCAAGGTGACTCCTCTATGGGGACGAGAACAGGAATTACCTCCTAAAACTTCGATTTTAGCAATTTATCAATATTTTTATCAATGAACTGCTAATCATTGCGTTAATTTTTTATTTAATGTAATGAACTAGTGGAATATGATTTCTAATGCGATACTATTCAATGACCCTTAAATAGAGGGTTTCTCTCTTATTAAAAAACAAGGACTAATACCTGGTGAGGTGGAGAGCCAACTCAAAAATTTGTCCTTAACAATTTTTTTTAATATATGCTTTTTGTATTAATCATGATTCTCTTGTTGAGTTAGAAGCCATATTTCACTTTCCATAAAAGTTTCAAGAGTCCAAACATTTCTGAAACAAAACTTAAGTAAAGAATTTTACATTATGATCTCCAATATTTTATAAATTTTAAACAAAATTTCGTTATGTTTGCAAGAATGTAAATAAGACAAATCAAATTACAAAAAAATTGTGACGCGCCGAGTAACACGCATTGTTCAAGCCCTGAAATTTACATAATGTCGATTTGAATGCATAAACAAGTTAAAGTATAATCGTGTGAAGAAAAGATCACATTCGTATGGATATTGTCAGCAATTTTCAACGTATCCGTGAACGGGAGCGTGCGCAATCATTTCACAGACAACAAGAAATGAAATGGACGCTGAGCGTCCTTACAGCGTCGGGACGTAATTCTACATTATCCACTTGTTACTCTCGCGCTCGGTTCACATCAACTTAGTTCGCGCGAAACCGTTGCATTACAAACGCGTGTAACATTGCTTCCAACAAAAAAGTAAGTGTTTTAAATTATTTTTAGTGGTAGTATTAGTTTTGTTCATTTATATATTAACTAAAAAAAATAATCAACAACAATTGTGTTACTTAAACAATTCAGTACAGTAGTTTTTATGTGACATTTAATTTTTATTAATGTGTTCATGTTCGCAGCATGTGTATTAATAATTAATATTATACCGACAGCAATAAAAAACACGACTAAAGATAGTCATGAAAGTTTGTCTTTGATCAACTCAAACTTTCAAATTGACGGCAACCTGACCAAATGAGAATTATATCAAAGAAAAATCTTCAAAATCCATGGTTGTTTGATCGTCTTTTTATTGCTCTAGTAATACGTTTTAATTTTTTTGGTAAAGTGTTACTTAGTAGGATAAATAAATAACTTAAGCAAAATATTGCAAAGATAAACAAGTCGTTCAGGCTACCTTAAAGATGTTTTAAACTATTTTAAAATTTAATTTTTTAGAACATTACTGTAAAATATGCGAGGTCGTGAGAAATAAATTCGTTTCCATTTTAATCTTAACAACAAACGACTTTTATGTGACAATTTCACAACTGTTTGACTGTTCTGTAGTTTAGAAACTGTAAAACTCAAAATCAATGTTATCCAAAGGTAAGAAAAAATGCTTCTGCAGAATGTGTTACATGGAAGCAATGAGTGACTAATTAGTAGTTTAGTTGCATCTTCCAATTTCAGAGGTCTCATCCGAGTTAGAGCTAAGATAATTTAAAATTTAAAGTATGAAATTAACTTTAAAACTACTTGATATGCTTTTTGGATATAAAATTCAAAGTTAACTCAATAAAGTATATATGCAGATATTGTTAATTTTCATATAGTTTATTAAGACTAACATTTTAAACAATGTGTCAAAAATTCTGCATTTTTCAGTGTTTTCACCACTGCACATATTTTAAGATAATTAGCTGAAAACTAGAATTTTCCAAAATATTTAAAGATCTTTACTGATGCTTTTATCCTAAAATTTAAAGAGTTTGAAATGTTTGATTTCTACAGCATTGAGAACTAGAAGTTTTTATGAGGTTCTTATTTTAAAAAGTGTTTAATTTTCGTTACACTATTATATAACATTAAATAATATATAGTTGTTCCAAATTTAAGCATAACATATGCTGAGATAAAATAGTAAGAAAGATGGAACAGTGCTTGGCATATTTATAAATCTGATTTTTTTAAGATTTTAATTATGTAAATTGCGAATCAAAATGTGGGGCAAAATTGATGGTATGAAACTTTACATTAATTAATTTTACAACCAGGAATTATCTGCTGAACTTTGTAGAGGAAAAAATACTGCACTCATGCTGTCACAAAATACAGTTAATGTTAATTAACTTAGCAAAGGCGGGTTCTCACAAAACAATCTTTTGTTACTACTTTATAAATATAGATATACAATAAAAAATGTTTACTGCAATTAACAAATTCTGTTATATTTTTTATTCTATAGTAGAGAATATCTTATTCTTATACCTACATATATGCATTCATATTCTCGCTTTTCAATTGAGGAGGTTGACGCAGCTATTTACATTAAGTACTTTAATTACGATTTTTTTCAGGTTTAATTACAACTATGTACTTATTAAAAATTGGTCAAAGGTTGTTTCGACAAAACTTCTGTTGCTCCTGAATTACAATAAAACATATTCAACTTTTTCGAAAAACTATAAAATTTTATAAAAGTTAAATAAAGATTTGTATGTAATGTTAAAATAAATGTCAAGATGTGTGCTACGCGTTTGTTTCAAATGAGTTTTTGTTTTAGGAAATTGACGTCATCAACATCTTTGCAAAGATATGTATGTCAATTTAGATAGGTGCAGTGTAATACTAATAATAACAGTGTAAGACTAATAGTTAATATTCTTGTTTGAATAGTTCTGATTTAAATCTATTGATTTTAACAAATAAATATCGATTGTCTAAATAAGAATTTATAATGAAAATCCGAAAACCCAAAACATTCTAGCTTTTGCATTAGGAGGCGATGGTCAATTTTATCAAATGCCTTTGATAGATCAGTATAAATAACGTCCACTTGAAATTGGTTGTCTAATGAATCACTTAAAAATTGAGTTATGGAAAGAAGATTTGTCATAGTGGAGCATACTTTGGTAAAACCATGCTGAGTAGAGCAAATCATTTGTGATATACTGATATATGATGGGACAAAATATAATCCTTTACATTAAAAAATAATTTTATATTGTACCCCGTCTAAACGAGTTTTGTGAGATTGCTTCAAACAATTTTTCAAATACTCACGATGAATCCGTAATCTTACACCCCCAGACCATTGAGCATCAGCAGCAATTAAAATTATACAGGGTGTTTTGTTTTTAAGAACCAACACACAACTTACTCTTACGTTTTGTATTTGAAATTCCACTGCAACATTGACTAGCTCTCCAGAATTTTTTGATTTTTTTAGTACGGTAAAACTACAAAAAATGGTAACAAAGTTATTTAGCTTAGTTAGCTAAACGAAGATATACGTTTTCTTGTAGTATCAACAAAGCTGTATCTTAATGTGTGCATAAAAAAATTCTAAAACATAATAACTTATACGTAGTTGTTTCTCATTTTTTTCAAATAGTTTAAACACCCTGTATTTATTACTGTATCTATTCGTTTTTTTATCTTCTTGTTTTCGATTTTGTTTTTTGTTTCAGCAAATAATTGACAAACAAGAAAAAGAATGAAAAACAGAGGAAAATTCAGTAAGAATAAAAATGAAATATGACCATATAAAGTAGCCCAAAAGCTATAAGGTTATATGATCATCATAAAAGTAGTTGACTGCAAATAAATACCTCCTTTGTGTGGTTCGCACTAAGCTTACCGGTTGACAATAAATCGTGTTCTAAACATTTCTTGCTCACATTTAACAGGGTCGGGTTTCAAAGCGACTGGTTATTTCGGAACCCTCTGCGGCTGCAGGTAGTAGCCGATTAACGGAGTGGTGGATTTAGATATTTAGTGAAAGCCGCCCCTGAACGAAAGGACAACAGCCGGTCGAGCTGCAGTGGACACGTTATTTACCACCCCAAAACCTTTTCTATTGTAAACAACTTAACTTCGACACAATGGGATAATTTTATGATGGCCATATAACCTTATAGATTCTGGACCACTATACATATTTTTTTAATATTTAAATATTCTGTATCTTAAAACTCAGTTTTATTAATACTACACTAGAGCTGAAAATTGTTTTCGTTTGCTCACCCTGTATGTTACAAAGGATAGAAATGTTTACTAAAGAAAATTATTCTGAGAAGCCAGTAGAAGATCAAGTATATCAATCACCACAAAAATGCAACATTTAATTTTCTTGCAATTTTGAGAATACACACACAAAATTTTTTAGTAGGTATTATACGCACAGTCCGAAATTCATATATGTAATATTTGTCCTTATCAACAATTTGGGGACAATTCTTAGGCATGACTTGAATTATAGAGCGAGATTACACTTTTTTGAAACTTTATTAAGATAATAAAATAACTACTTGTTAAAACTTTTTCTCCACAAAGTAGATGGGGTTATTTCCGAAAACAGTAAATACAATTTCAGTAAGAATATGCTCAGAGATGCATATTCATGTTTCATGTTTCAATGACTTTTACATTTTAGAAATGGCTGCATAGGTTTTTTTTTAATTAATTGTCCTATTAATACATATATTTAATGAGTTATATTAGAAATAATTTCTGAGGCTTGCACGGTCGGAATCAATACATGATCGTTTTCCGGCTTGGAACCAGGTAAATTGAGTTTTTGGGCTCAACGTTTCGCACACTTAAGTAAGTGGCATCTTCAAGAGCAGGGTTAAGAATAAGTCAAAAGAGCACTGTAACTCAGTATGTCCACCATGCCAGAGGCGAAATTCAAAAGAGTTTCCGTGCTCTTTTGCCTTATTCTTAACCCTGCGCCTGAAGATGCTACTTAAGTGTGCGAAACGTTGAGCCCAAAAACTCAATTAACATGGTTCTAACTCGGAAAACGATAATGTAGTTATATTATAAACTTGAAATTTCTAAAACATACTGAGGTAATTAGTGTTACACTGTACATATCAAAATCAATATACATTAGGGTGATTCAAAAAAAAAAAATAATTTTTTTTTTTCGTGCAAAGAGGTTCAAAAGTTTCTTTTCAACGTAAAAAAATACCAGTTAAAATTTGAGCTCTTAATATTAATATTAAGACCGTCCGCATCGCGTTTTTCTATTTCCCATAAGAATAACATGGGAAAATTTTTGTTTGCACCTTCTGATTTTTATTGCTAGCCCGTCGTGTGTCGTGAAAAAAATTCAATCACATATTTTTATAGAGAATTGAACGCTCTACAAAAAGTGTCTCCTATGATTGTGCGAGAAACCTGATAGTTGAAGAGTTATTTTAGGCTAAAGTTAAATTTAACCAAATTTTGACGTTTTTGATGCATTACAATAAATTTGATGGTCTTATTGGAATAAATCACCACAAAAATTTATACACATTTTAAATTTAGTTTTTTAAACAGTAATTGTTTATAATTTTATGCTATAATAAGGCCAGTAAAACTCTTTCCGAACATTTTCAGCATCAGTGGGTTAAAAAATCATAGTCAGGTTTCTCGCAAAATCATAGGAGACACTTTTTGTAGAGCGTTCAATTCTCTATAAAAATATGTGATTGAATTTTTTTCACGACACACGACGGGCTAGCAATAAAAATCAGAAGGTGCAAACAAAAATTTTCCCATGTTATTCTTATGGGAAATAGAAAAACGCGATGCGGACGGTCTTAATATTAATATTAAGAGCTCAACTTTTAACTGGTATTTTTTTACGTTGAAAAGAAACTTTTGAACCTCTTTGACACGAAAAAAAAAATTATTTTTTTTTTTGAATCACCCTAATATACATATTTGCTCACACCAAAAACTTGGCGACTTCGTTGCAGCAAGTTGTTTAT